AGACATGGTGAGACGTTGAGGTCGCCACATCTGGAAAGATGAAAAAACGTGAACAGCACCGCTTCGTCACAGTCACAGACAGATCGAAGCACCACTTTCCCCGTGGAACGTTACAGAACTCTACCCGTTCTTCTTGCAGTGTGGACGCCAAAGATGCACGATGTGTAAGCTGTTGGGGGCTGCGGGGGGGGGGGTGCCTATCATGTATCAAGTAAGAGTGGAACAACTTGAACACCACCATTGATGCCATAATTTGTTCATATACGTATTGTTTGTTCTATAGTTATATAATTTGACACAGATGACCTGGCTGCTCAACATCCAATCAAGTGGACGCAGAGTATGCCCAACTAACTGCTTAGTAAATATGTCTCAGAAGCTTCAAAGATGAGGACCCAGGACACTGAGAATTTGTGCCTTTCCCTTATGTCCTTCGTGTGGGTGTGTCACAAACTGACCAAGACCTCACCTGCTTTCCCCACACGGTTCCTTCGTTCGTGTAGACCAAGCACAGATGATCACTGGATAGGTGAGCACATGAAATCAACGACTGGTCCAGTCAACGTTATGAACCATGCTGTGCCCCCCAAAGTAAGCAACATGAAGTCAACCATATTGGTCCGGTCATTCCTCCCCAATGAAAGGAAGACGGACCCCACGGCTTTCCACCGGTGCTTTCCGCCGCGCACGGTCAGGACCGCGAGGACGGCACCTTTCTGGTGACCACCACCATCGGCGGCTACTACGGCGGAGAGTTGGAGGGCCGAGAGATTGGGAGATGCAGAGGAGGAAGAAGCGGTAACAAGGACGCTACGTTCGGGGCTCCTGGCATCGCTACTAGGAACAAGGGCCTTACTACTAGTAACAAGAAGCTATTAGAAACCAGAATTAAAAGTAATTAGAATTAAATAGAAGATGAGGGAGAGATGGGGAGATGGGGGCCACCGCGGCCACAACCATTGTGAGGTCAGTCAGTCAGTCAGTCCATGTTGTGAGAAGTAATGTGAAAGAAGTGGTTGAAAAGGAGAGTACGCTTCTGACATGCTGTGCCATGCTATGCCATGCTTATCAGGTTCCTGTGGCACTCGAAAGGTGAATGAAGCTTCGATCTGTGATCGACATGAGTCTACATGAGGCTTTGGGGGGGGAGGAGGAGAGGAGAGAGGTGTTCTGTCATGCTCAAGTTCCAGTGTGGTGTTTCTTCGGAGTTTGAAACAAGACTCACCGAAGCACCAGTGTACCCTTTTCAATCAATCCGAAGCCATCTGCTCCTATCACCGCCTCTCCGCATGCGTCAGCAGCTCGGGGCAGCCTGAAGCACCAGCTTGCTCCCAGGTATTCCGGATGTTTTAGAGTGGCACCAAGCTGTTGCGTTCTAATCAACCAAACCAACCAGCTGACCAGCTGATCCCTTCACCTTGAGTCACTGAGGGTGGATGTGAATTTCACCCACAGCTATGACCCAGACACCAACACCTGGGCCGGGCACCCCACGAGTGCGCCGCAGTGGGTGCATGACCCAGGAGATGACATTGAATGACTCTAAGAACGACCAAGAATTCCGTTCATGTCGGAGATGTGTGTGGACAGAATTGGGGCCGTGACCTGGTGTAGAGTGTAGAGTGTAGAGCTTTCTCACTCTCTCCAAGCGCAAGAGCTCATCCAGCTCGAAGGGTTCTCATGTGTGGAAGGGTTCTTATAGGCCCACTATATGTCTGTTTTTTGTTTTTGTCTGGGGAATAAAATCTGCAAGAGCTTCCAACATCTTCCGAGACATGTTCCATCACTCTCCAGTGTTTTGTTGTTTCAACTTCTTTGGGCCTTGCTCTTTGGATTTCACACCGATGTCACGTCGGACACGAACGAGGACGATCCTCTTTAGGTCCCCAACGGTCACCGGTTTTTTCAACGCTACGTCGGCTCGTCTCGCGCCCGCGCGCTTCCGCGCGGTTCCGCGCGCTTCCGCGCGGTTCATCGGGAGCGCTCCGGATCGCTCCGGATCGCTCCGGATCGCTCGGAGTTTCGCTGAGACGCAAAAGTGTGATCGTGATCCTGGGCTCCAGAAGGTGAGCAATCAGGTTTGCTTCAGGCGCCGAACTCGACGCCGGTCAGCCGTCTGGTCTGAGTCCGGTGAATGTCGCCTTTGGGTTTTCGCGTGCGCGGTGTTTCGCAAGCCGGAGAGGATGCGGTTTCGCATGCGGGAAGTCATGCTGGAGCCGGAGAGTCTGACCTGGGATGTTGGAGCTTTGGATTGTTGGAAGAAAACATGGAGGGATGATGAGGAATGTAGATGTGTTTCGAAGGATTACCTGATTCGGTAAACATCCATGTCTTGACATGGTCGCAGAGCGTCACAGATCGAAGAGGTGGGCATTTTGGGGGACCTTCTTCAGCCCTTGAACGCATGCTGTGGCCAGGCTCCACTCGGAACCTCGAGTGGCACGGGGCACTCGGAGAGATCGGGGAGATGTGTAGAGAGATCGCATCGTGTGGAGTTGGACATCGAGAGTCTCAGAATCTGGCGAAATCGACTGGGGACAATTCGACATGTATGGGTATGGTGATGTATGGTGTTATTGGTGTTTGTACAGACCAGTTGGGTCCAGTTGGGATTGTCCAGTTAATCAGACTGGGGAATACCCAGCCAAACTGGGCCAGTCAGACACGGGTCAGACCTGCTTCCCGGTCAGACACCTGCTTCCAGGGCACATCGTGGTCAGACCCGGCATTTCCAAATGCAGTTGTTTTTGGACGCATCAGTGAGCGGATCATACACTCATGAGACGGATGGACATACCTGCCCTTGAACAAAGAGTATGTTTTGGAACTCCGCGTATTAGTGTTAAGCGCAGAGAAACTAGGTATGTTCCTGTCCAATTCATCTCTACTTCTCTACATCCAATGAATCTACTCTAGGATCATTCACCTCCGCTATCAAAGAAATATATGTTTGATATTGTTTGATCCATGCTACCTGAGGAATTTCTTAATCTCAAAGGCAAGGTATTTGGATTCCTTGTTCGACTTGTCACAGCCCATTCTGAGTCACCTGCGGCTGCCTTCTGAGTCGACGTTCGACAGACAAAGACTAGAAGTGTTCTCCGACCTGTGAACATGTGTGATTTGTTGGTCACTGGAACAGTGAACCTCACAAGCAATTCCATATTTCTTCACAGTAATCCAACAGTTCGTGAAATTGATTCTGAAACGCCTTCACCTGATTTGGGGTTCGTTGAGACAAGCTGTTCTAGCAGCTTTTGACTGGTCAGAAGTCTCTATCACGGGTAGGCGGTTAGCCAGTTAGGCGCGTGCACGACCATTCACATGTTTTTTTTTTCAACAACCAGCCATACAAGGTCATCTATCCTAAGCAGTATGCTATCACTTTCGTACATGTTTCTTGATCATGCCCTTGTACCCCCCCCCTGTCCCGTCCCGTCCCGTCCCGTTGCTGGTCGGTCGCCATGCTTCGCATGCTTCGACGCGTCAACGACGAAGATCGAAATCTGGTGCGTCAACGACGAAGCCCGGAACTCTGGCATGGAGGCGGGGCGTGGCGGACCACGGGCGCTTGCGTCACGGGCGCACCTTTCACGAGACGCTTTTCCGCCGTGCCAAGCGTGTATCGAACGACATGGCATGGTGCCCTCCTCTATCGACATGGCCGGTGTGTAGCTTGGGGTGAGGAGAAGTCAAGCCAAGGAGGTTCGACCCCCAAATTTGAAAGATGTATATATACTGTACTATAAAGATGTCAAATGTCTTTCAACATGTATTGAAATCCTTGTCAGGAGGGGGTGTCTCGGTGTCTCTCTTTATCATCCGATTCATCCGATGTTTCTATTTGAGTCTGCTGATGAGTCTCCTGATGCTGGTTCCTGATGTTGGATCTTGGGTGGTGCTCTGGACGCTCCGAGCATTGATGGCTTTTGGCACACAGAGGGCTCGTCCAGCCACGAACTTTGAGCCTCCGAGGTCCCTCAAAAAGGATCACGCGTTCGGCCTCCAGGGTCTTTGTAGGATCGGTCCCCCCCTGTGTTTCTCGCGGGAAGCCACCCATATCAGAAAGGTCTCCATTGGGCTGAAGGCCATTTGCGGTGTGGGGACCCAGGGGAAGGATCCGATGGAGAGGGATCCGAGAGGAGGGCGAGGAGGGCGGAGGGAGAGAGCATGTTATGAGCTATGTCAGCTATGTGCAGTTATAGGATGTTATAGGCATCTAAATATGTAACGAACTACGCTGGCGAACTCGTCACACAGAAGGTACGACGAACAATTTGGTTGCTCCCTTTCCAAGCGTGCTTGGAAACGCGGTAGGTGATGGTAGGTGGGAGTTCTGGGTCGTTGTCGGGAAGAGTGTGAAAGACAATTCCAAAACTCAAGGGTGCCCACAGACACAGCATCAATTTTGTCACAGGCATGTCCCAGTATACTGTATTGTCACAACGTCATGCCTTCTAGATTCTAGACACCAGGCTTTCAACAGAATGTTGAGCTATAGTACTGCCCTAGGAATCCAAGTACCTTCTCAGAAGGTGATTGGAGGCACTATTATGTAGGTGCCAGGAGGGTCCAGTCGTACCTTCTGAGAAGGTATGACTGGATCCCTGGGGTTGGAGGCCATCGCTAGCCGCTACTAGCTTGGAGACCATCGCTGGCCCCTTTTTAGCCGCTGGCGGCAGGTGAAGGGCGCCATCCAAGGGCTATATCGTCGTGTATCTTGTACATGCTTACCCCCGACTGAGTCGGGTGTTGGGGTTTTCGGGTTCTACTCCACATCGTCATGGAGCCGGTCGACTCGACTCTTGCCGGTAGACGGCCGGCGGGCCCTCAGGTAACATCCTCAGCTCCCTGGGTGCCCCAGAGGGCACTGAGATCGAAGTGAAGGCGCGAGGTGTTTCACGTCACACGTCGGTTGGTGAAACCGGCGGAGGATTCGGGGGATTGGGGGGCAAGGTGGGGTGCGTGGAAAGCCCTGCCAAGTCACTGGTGAATTTGTTTGGAATATACTGAATATACTGTCTTTTTTATATGCGAAAAGAGTATCTTGGAGAGTTTGGGGATTGGGAGAGTTGACCTGTGATGAGCTGTGAAGGGAGTGCTGTTTGGGGTGACACATGGTGACACGGTTGACCGCTTGTGCCCTCACGAGAAGACCACTGTGTGTTAACAGCTTTGATTGCTGGCTAAGGTATGAGAGTTGTTCCTCCTCGGACCAACGGAGGTACATTTCGGGGGACCATTTCAACATATGTGTTTTTTCAATTGTGTATTATACTATATTTATATTATATAGATCCCCACATAGACAGAAAAGTAAAATACCTGTCAAAATGTATTGGAAACCGTCTCTATCTATTTGGGGACCACTAGAACAGCCAAGCCAATAAAGTTTGGGATGAGTGAGCAGGGAGACTCGTTTTTACGGCTCCTCAAGACTGGAGTCAGGGCGGAGCTTCTGGGAAGGAGCCAAGAGAGCTGAGGATGTGCGGCTGTGTTATCTGGGAACATGCTGAGGATGTGCGTTGGTTGAGGACCTTCCGAAAAGTACCAAGCGCAGCACCGCCATCCAATGCCTCGGTCGATGGTGAGCAGTTCGGCCAGGATACACCATCTAAATATAGGGCCATGGGTCCGGTACAAATGTACCAGCATGTACCAACCCTGCTCGGGCTTTGCACCCGCAAATGCTGCGGTGTTCAATCACATGCCTTGGCATCGCGTGTTCGTTAACCTAGGCAAGTGCAAACTGGACATGAACAACTTTTTCTTCGCATGAAATCAGCTGGAAGAAGATGCTGGAAATGTCTGTGTGAGGGGCGGTAAGCCTGTCGTGCGGATCTGCTCGCAGGCGGATCAAGCCTCCCGCGATGGATCTGGCGCCTTGGAGTGAGATCCATCCCAAAATCTCTAGAATCCGTGCCCCAAACAGGCTTTCGTGACCTGGAAACAGTGTTGGATGGGAGTTGTTTGAAGATGTTTGATCCTTTTTTCCCAGCCACGGACCCAACGGAGTTGGGTCTTTCCGATCTGAGCAAAGCCTCTCTGCGACCAGTCTGGACCAACGTACCCAGCCGCCTAGTCAAGACCAGCACCTTCATGTCGGGGTCACCTGGCTGGAAGCCCCTACACCTAAGGGACCTCCAGACAGGACACCCCTTGAAGGGTCAGGAAGGTGGATAGGACATCTCAGCTCACGAGCCGAGGCAAGCTGTCGGCGCAAAGCGCGCCGCTGGACAGCTTTTGCACCAGCAGGGATGCTCAGCAGGGTTGGCCCGGCTTCGCTAGAGCGTCAAGAGATTTGTAAGCCCACCAAGTGTGCATGATGGTGCACACTTGGTGCCAGTGCTGAACACCGGAGCTACGACTGACAACTTAAGACTGGATACCATGAGTGGCCTCCGGACGACCAAATTAAGGGTCGCACTCTGACATACTCTGACGAACATATGGTCCCTTGAAAGTGGATGGGACCATAAGGAAGACTGCGTTCCTTTACGGTAAAGGGGTGCCATCCACTTCCATGTGATGTGTTCGTCGGAGTGTACCTCGTGCTTAACTAGATGTTTTCTTCGTGTCCGAGCTTCGTTGCAGGGTTTGATGCCAACACCGGACTTGATTTTCAGAGAGTTTCTGATCGTTGCAAGGGTTTGATTCCAACACCTAAATGGTTGCCTTGGTGAGTGCGACAGCAACCCTGCCACCCGGTCAGCTCCACGTATGGGCCATGTGGACATGAGTTGGCTCATGGCCCTGTGACTTTCTCGTGACTTCGAACGGCATGTTGATCACAACCTGTGACCGCTAGAGGCCGGAGTCCTCAAAAAGGAGACTTAGCAATACTTAGCACATTCTCTTAACACCAGCTGAAGCGGTCTGCGTCTTCTCTTGTGCGGCTGGGTGACCGACCCGGCATTGAGGCATTGTTTGGCCCAGCATTCAGAACCGACCGGTCCGCCCAAACCACTGTGACCGGTCCGCCCGAGCGCGCGGCAAACCAAGCAGCCCGAGCTGCGCTGAGGTCCTGAGAAGTTCATCGATGCAGCCATGGAGATCGTGAAAGCCGGGAAGGCCGGATCTCTGGTTCTTCGGGCCATGGGAACATGGCATCACCAGTGGGGGGTGAAGCATGGTTTTACGATGGACGTTGGGGACCATCCAGGATGGGTTGCCAGGATGGCTCCAGTTACCAGTTCAATGCGACACTGCAACAGTTAGCAGTTATGGTTACCAGTTACAGTTCCAAGAATGGTTCCAAGGATGGTTTTTTGTAGGGGTTCACAGCATTTGGAGAGGTTCTGTGAGGTGGACCCAGCAGTGGGTTCTGGGGCGGTTTGAAAGAAGGAGGGAGAACCGCAAGGTTTGTGTCATTTGGGCATTGGATCAATGGAAAGAAATCCAGTGATGCAGTTCCCAAATGCTCCATGTATGCCATCTTTTGAACAGGGGTCAATGTAGGCACATATGCCGTGCATGGAGTGTCTGGGTAAGATTGGTGGCTGCTTTGCTGGAAAAGAGTTGCTTGATAAATGGACCTGGAGCTCAGGGTCATGCTGAATGCTTGACTTGCCGCAAGCGGGAAAGCTGTTGATTCTGGCTGCGCTGGAGAACACGGAGACGACGTGAACATCCCCGAGCCTTTTCTGCCATGTTCTGCCCCATCTTTGAATCGGCAAGAGGTTGAGGAGATGGGGCTTGATGGACTTTGTATCTTTGGGTTGGTAGACTGGGGAGACAGTCTGTGCCTTCCGACAGTCTTCTGTAGTCTTCTGTACGCATCTCAATTTGTTGATCCACCATGATCCACCATTCCCCTGCACAATTGATCTTCAATGGATTTATCAACCACCGACTTGGGATCCATCAGGATTGAAATCATCTGTAGCTCCCCTGAGCATGTTGAGCCAAATAGCCTTGATGAGTGGGTTGATGGCCTGTCCAGGGAATCCCCAAAAGTGCAATTGGTCTGAATGTGCGTGCTTGGATCTGGTAATCTTGTATGTATCCGTTGATGTTCTTGAGATGGTGGCAAAAGATCAGAAGTAAGGCACCATCGACCAGTCAGCACTGTTAGATATGGTGAATCCAATTGGGATCCAAGTGAATGTATGATTTCAATCATCATCACACATCCATGTTTGGTGGATGATGTTCATCTATTTTCATGAATAGTAGCTAGTGTGCCTTTCTGTCGTCTGAACCACATCCTGCAACAAATTCCATACTCAGGGCGCCTTCGGCATGGCAAGGGGCCTCAGTGGGAAGAGTCCAGCTTTATGCATTTGGAAACAAACCAATGAGGAAACATATTCATGCCTATCGATATGGTGTGTTGCCGCAAAACACACCATATTCATTCCTCTTTATGCATTTATCCATATTCAAGATCATGAAAGTCGATGAGGTCCCGCGACTCTTGGAGTCGCATCTTTAGGTCTTTGATGGTCGAACAAATCCGCGACTTCTCCAAGGTCAAAGAACTTCCAAAGCGTTCAACCATGTTTGTTTGTTTGATTTCTTTTTCTTTGAAAAGTGAATCTGATATATTCTGATCAGACTTCTGATCAGTACTTTGATCATCTCCAGATCCCAATGTGTTCCGCATGGTCTTTCCTCCGAAGACGCCGCCATCACCGACCGGTTCTCGCTTTCGTTCGCTTCGAATCGGTCTCGACGTTCGCCCCATGGGACTGGCACATGGGTTTCAGAGGCCTATCTGATGGGTAGATGGTGATTGTAATGATCATATCTAGATATGGTCAGATCATGATCTATATTTATATGCCATACATGGTCAGATCATGAAGCTCCTCCATGCAGTTGGGTGTTTTCATGGATAGGATGCTGCTAGGGGTGGTGGTACCACCATGTACCACCACCCCTGTGATATCATATCCACGGCACCTGGATGGGATGACTAAACCTGCTGTTCTTTGAGACATGTTTTGTCTTTTCAGACCTTCGGTAGTAGAACTTTATCGAATTTCCCGCACCTACTGGTCATTCTCGAGGTCCATCTTTCGTGTGTTTGGAGATAAAGTTAAACATCCACCCCAAGAGTTAGTGGCAGATATCTCAGGCTTTGTCAGGCTCTCTTGCTCCAAAGAAATATATCTACTTTAAACTTTAAACATACTTAAACTAAACAGACTGAGGTTTGCTTTGCAGTACAAACGTTTAAGGAAAGTGCCCACTTGCCGCTGGACATGTCCAATTTCGAAAGTTTAACCACAAGCAAACCCAGGCAACTTTCAACCAACACAAGAAAACAGTTTGAACCTTCGGCTGAAGAGACACACTTATTGCCGCCCAAATTCTTCTTGCCAATTGGCAATGTTTTCTGCTGGCTGGAAACATACAGTGCTTCTCCGAAGTGATGGCAGGGCTGTGGCTTGCGGAAGTAACCTCTTCGGAGTATGCAACATTCCAGCTTTGGATGAGGGGCTGTCCTACACCCAGGTTTCTGCAGGAACAAACCACACAGTGCTTCTCCGAAGTGATGGCAGTGCTGTTGCTTGGGGATCTGAATGGGACGATGGACAATGCAACATTCCACCTTTGGATGAGGGGCTGTGCTACACCCAGGTGTCTGCAGGGACAAACCACACGGTGCTTCTGAAAAGTGATGGGAGCGCTGTTGCATGCGGAAGAGATGAATATGGAAAATGCAGCATTCCACCTCTGGATGAAGGAATGTCCTACACCCAAGTTTCTGCAGGAGTATTTCACACCGTGCTTCTCCGCTGTGACGGCAGCGCGGTTGTTTGCGGAGGAAGATTTGGACAATGCAACATTCCGACTTTAGATGAGGGCCAGTTTTACACCCAGGTGTCTGCAGGAGGGGTCTATCCAGTGCTTCTTCGAAGTGATGGCTGTGCTGTCGCTTGCGGAGGCCACAGATACGGACAAGTCAGCATTCCTCCTTTGGATGACGGAATGTCCTACAGCCAGGTCTCTGAAGGAGTGCATCATACTGTGCTGCTCCGAAGTGATGGCAATGCTGTTGCTTGCGGTGATAACAGATATGGTCAATGTAACATTCCACCTTTGGACGAGGGAATGTCCTACACCCATGTTTCTGCAGGAGGGTATCATACAGTCCTTCTCCGCAGCGATGGGTGCGCTGTCGCGTGCGGATTGAATACAGATGGACAATGCAACATTCCTTCTCTGAAGTCTTGGCTTGAGCACTTGACTTTTGTATCCGCAAGCCGTCGCTACATGTGCGATGTGATACCGCTTACTAAGGACTATGTACTACAACTGGGTGTGGTTTTCAAAGATGATGCAGCCATGTTGACGCTCTGGGATTTAGCCGGGCATGAGATTTGCTGCCTGAATGTACATGTGTCTGACCTTGCCTCAGATACAAGTAAGCGCATTGCCCGTGACTTGAAGGTTAGCCCTCAAAGTCTTCAAGTGGTCTTGCCTGATGGACAGCTGTTAGCTTCCATATTTAGGGCAAATCCCTTTGCCACGCTGGCCGATCTGGGTAGTTCACCCACATCTGCCGGCGCGAAGTCAACAGCATCAGATCCCCCGAGCAGCAAAGCTGAAATTGATTTGGGTCAAACGAAAGGAGTGTCCAATCTGTCGATGGCGCACCTGACCATCCTGTCGTGTCTCGCTCCATACTGTCCATGCTGTTGCTTTGCGCACGCGAGCCAGTTGTGCGCATCCAAAAAGGTGTGAACTTGAGCATCTTGAATCTTGACAGATCGTGCTTCCCCAGCTCTTTCAAAGACAGCGTCCTTCGTCCGGAGACAGCGCCAAACCGGTGAGTATGAACCAACCAACCATCGGAACATCACGGTTTGTGAGTATGAACAAATCAACTCCGTTGGGGCCTCGGGAACTCCTTATTGGGGCGCCCGGAGTTACCACAGCTGAAAGCAGGACCCACGTCGCACGTCCCCCCGGGTCCGGTCCGTCGACCGAAGACGAGCCCAGGTGGATTTCGCCATCTTGGAGGACAACGGCTCCAGCTTCAAGACGAAGGCTCGGTGGGCGTGTGGGGCTGGGCGTGTGGCCTCACACCCGGTGTCCACAACGACCTGGGGATGTGGGATGTGATAAAATTCGGGAACCGGAAGAAAGAACATCCAAGAGACAGCGAAGTGGATGTGCAGTACTCATTGCTGGAAGGCTTTAAAAATAAAGCGCTGTTCTTTTTCGGAGGTACGCGCTGGACTGGAGAGGTCAAACGGCGAAACGAACCGCTTCCATGCACTAAACCATCTGAACCGCTTCACAGTACGGTCAACCCCACAGGACCACTGGAGCAGCTAATCCTTCCTGGTCGCACAGTAGGGCGATTATGAAGGAATGGTTTGAGATACCCGCCCTACTGCCTAACGCCCCTGCTTCACTGGGACACTCAATGAGCCTCCATTTGTTGGTGGGGACTGCTGAGACAACGCCAGCTTTCGGAGTTCAACTATGTTTGACATCTCATATGTCACTCACTCCACTTTGAACCCTCCGAAGCCGATCTTGCCTAACGCCTCCTGCCGGAACCAACGACGGCCGTTCACGAGTGCGGACGGTGCTCCGGAGCTCGCTCCTCCGAACGGTGCGGAGCTCGCTCCGAACGGCGCTCCAAGGAATCCGTCGACACGGACGGCAAGGGTGACATCAAAGCTCCTTGGCCCGAGCTCGCCCGAGCTGAAACGACGCCGGTCCGACGCCGGTCCGCCGCTGAAGCGGGTTGGTGGTCGTGGGTAAAACATCGACGAAACAACAGAGCTCCACCACAGCTAATTCTGAATCGATGCTAACTTGTGGTGGTCAAGGGGTTCTCACCAAGTTGGAGGCATTGTCAAAGATTGAAACGAACCACCTCAGAACCCGTCGCACGTGTTGTTATGTTTTGTTTAGTTTAGTCCCACGCCCTGTTTTGGGGAGCAGATGATATGGTTTGACCATCAGATGTTCCCGTACAAAACACAGACCGTGCTCTTTGCTATGTAGAATATCTAGAATGTCAAACGGTCACTTGGACTTGGAAGAAGCTGGTGGATTTCCATGACTATCATCCAGCTCATGTCTGCTGGGCCCGCTGTCCGGCGCACAGATCCCGACCTGTGTGATCGGTTCGTCGAGCGGTTCATCGAACATCACATTTGGCGACGACCCGCCCGAGGGTGACGGGTTGGTTCATGGGCTCCCCTTTGGGTGTGTTGGCTGTTAGGCTGGTTGGACGTTCGTGGTACGTTTCATGGAGTTCTAAATGGATTTGAGGACTTGCTTGGTCCTAAGCAAGTGACGCTATGAGTCATACAGAAGACGTAGCTTCCGCGCTTCCAGGTGCGAGGTATTGTTAGATCTTCAGCAGACCCTGGCTCAGGTGAACTATTGCTTGCATGTCTACGACAAGAGCAGCAACACCATCATGTCCACACTCCACAAGGAGTCACGGCACACGGGCGGAGATGTTCACAGTACACGGACCATCACGGACCTTGGGCCCCGTGGTTTCCATGTTTCCATTTGGTTTGGACATCAAAATATGTGACATGTGTGTCAAATGGTCAACCCCCAGGTGATGTACCGGTGTTCGCGGTTGGTCGGGGTAGGCAGGAACACCAACCCTCTCTCCCACCTAGCATTAATGTGTACCTTGTCAGTTTGAACAGCTTGCGGGTAACAGGAGCAGCTGCTCCCTGGTTTAAAGTTTGGTGCTGTGCCACAGCTTTTGTTTTTTGGGCTTCCTTTCCTTTTGCTGGCGTCTTGGTTGGCATGCCGCTCTATGGAGCAGGCCGACCGAGGCCACACTGGGAGGCCGTAGAGCCCTACCCAGCTTTTGCGTTGGCGAGGCCTAGGCCGAGGCCGAACTTGGGCTTGGGCAGGGAGAAATGCTTGCTTGAGGGCTGCGAGAAGCCGTTACCAGCTGGCATCGAGCTTCCCTTGAAGCAACCAGCTCTTCGCCTGTGCAAGGGTGGTTTGCCAGGCCCTGTGAGAGGTTGCGATGACTTTGCGGCCAAGCAAGCGGTGGCCGTTCTCGCTGAAGTGAGCGCTGATGTTGTTAGGAGTGGTGCAGCCCGTAGTTTTTGGGTCAAGCCGGGCTGCCGCGCCAAATCCTGGGAGGAAGAACAGTGGCAAGCGCTCGCAAGAACTTGGGTTGGCTACTTGCAGCCACTTTTGAACTCCTCGCCGTTCTTCCAAGACTTGGGCGAGTTGGCCGAGGGTTGCTTGATTAGAGTTTTGCGGACAAAGGCAGCCGGTACCTTGCGGCGGCACCTGCCGGGTTTCAAATTATGGGTGGACTTCATCCACGGCACTGACCTGGAGACGCCGTTCGCGCGTGCAGACTTGTTGGTCAATTTCTTTGATTGCGTACAGGCGAAGCACCGTAGCGCGATCGCCCCCTGGCGTTCCCTGAAGTTCGTGGCGGCCTTGCTGGGCTGGGATCGCTTGCTGGCTACCTTAGCAAATCCTGTCGTGGTTGCTTGTTCGGGCGATGCGGCAGAGAGTAAGGAACGCAAGGAAGCTGTACCTTTGCCTTTGTATGCCGTGGCGCGAATGGAGGCTGCAGTGCTCGCTGCCTTGGCTTCGGGTCCACAGCTGGATCCACCTACACTGATGTGTGTGGTGTTCTTGGTTATGCTTTGGGGTGCGCTTCGTTTTTCTGATGCCCAGCGCGTGGCAGTGCCTGAGATGGACTTCGTGCAGGGTATTGTGCGCTGCAGATGTTGGAAGACAAAGTCCTCCAAGACTTCTATGCCTTGGGGCTGCCTTACTGTGGGTATCTATGATGATTGGACGGCAGCTGTCAAATTGCTGCGAGAAAAGCTTGGAGAGGTCGATTTCCTGATCCCTGGGCCCTTTGGGGGCCGGGCCTCGTTTACTTATACACAAGCTCAGTTGAGGCGTTTGCTCGTGTGTGTGGCCAAAGTCCCAGAGTATGCGGTTTCCATTTACACTTTGCACAGTCTAAAAGTGACTGGGCTTTGTTGGGGCTTGCAGTTAGACATCGATGGGCGCTGCCGCCGCTTGTGGGGGCATCATCGGGCGCGCGAAGCCGGTGAGGCTATGGTTCAAAAGTATGGGCGTGACGACGTGCTGCCTGCGCTGAGGGCGCAGCTGGTGGTGGCTCGGGCAATACGTGGCGGTTGGTGCCCCTTGACCCCTCAAGCAAGAGGTGCACGCCAGCCTTGCCCTGAGGAACCTCTGGCGCCGGCGCCATCGGCACTGCGGGGGGCTCCCTTGGGTCTGGACATCTGTGCCTCGGGCACTTCGGACACAGAGTCTGAGTCGGATGAGAATGAGTCGGAGGTGGAGTCCTCGGTGAGCAGCGTGTGCGGCGAACTGTTGGAGGCGGACGACGAAGAGGACGCGGTGCCTGGCCCAGCGCAGCTTGTTGGCGGAAAGTTTCTGGTGAATTGCCGCTCTCACAAGTTTCACGCTGTGATTCTAGCCGGTGGTTCGCTACGGCGGGCGTGTGCCCCATCTCAGTCGGTGGATGAGCCACATTGGGAGGTGCGATCGGAAGACCCGTCAACTAGCATTGGAGCATTCATACCTTGTAGCCATGCTGCATGTGGTTTGCTCTTGGGTGCGGAGTGACAAAAAGTGGAGCGCTGTGTGCGCGATTTTGCGCGGCCGTGGGGTCGTGGGGATCTCGAGGGAGATCGGGATCTCGAGGGAGATCGGTGGTGGGTCACCTTCCAGGTCGGGGGTCCCCTTGCAAACGTGGGTTTGCGGTGATGACGTGGGTCATCTTGCAGACGTGGGTCTGCTGAGATCTCGTGGGAGATCTGGATCTCTGGGGAGATCCGGTGACGTGGGTCACCTTCGAGGAAGTGTCCTCTTGCAAACGTGGGTTTGCTGTGATGACGTGTGTCATCTTGCAGACGTGGGTCTGCTGTGATCTCGTGGGAGATCTGGATCTCGGGGAGATCCGGTGACGTGGGTCACCTGGAGGACGCTCGTCCGTCGTTTCGGTGTGGGAGGTGTCTCCCTAAATTCCTTTCAGCAAGTGCGCTGGGAGTGTTTGTTTGGGCGTTGGCCTTCGTTGTTTGGTTGTCTTGCCTTCCTTTGTCTTTGCTGGCGCGATGTCCGCGATGGACTGCAAGAAGAAATTTCAGGACTTGTTGCAAAAGGTGGGGCTGTGTAGCAAAGTTCAGGAGGAGTTGGCTGCGCGGGGCTTCGCGACTGCCGCGGAGTTGCACTGGACTCTGCAGAGCGGGGCTGAGGAGACGATTGATGCTGTGCTGCAGGCGGCTGGGGTAGATAAGGGCTGTGCGCCTTCTTTGCTCCAGTGCTTGGAAGCGGGCCGCTTGCGGCGTCTCTTGGCTATGTGCACAAAAGTATGCAATGACGCTGGTGATCAGGCGCCAGTGGTTTCGGATGCAGCAGGGACGAGCTTGTTGGGTCTCTCAGTGGGCCCGCAGCTGGATGCGGCTCAGTTGGCAGAGTTGTGGAAGAAGTTTGCGGCGGACTACCCATCAGAGTGCTTGGAAGCGGATGGGCAGCCCTGCAAGCAATTGCTGCAGCAGATCGCGCTCCAAAAGCGGAATGGGGAGTTGAAGTTTATCCCTTGGAAGCAAATCTTGAGCGTTGTGCAATACGATCGTTCCCGCCAGTCCTGCTCCCACTCTAAGGAGAAGTCTCTCCTGGGCCTTTTGGCGGATGTGACAGGACATGTTGACGCTTTGGAAGCTGACGTGTCTTCCTCCCCCCTTCGCTGTGCAGAAGGTTTTGTCGCTGCGCAGTGTGGCGTGGGCGTTGCTGGATTGGTGCCATTTGTCGTCGGGCAAAATGCTTGTCAACAAGTTCATGCTGCTGTATCATCGCGTTGGGTTGGCTGATGTGGGGATGCGCCCCCCAAACCTTGCAGAGGCCGAGTTTGCGGATGCGGAACTCTGCCGTCAACTGCAGGATTTGATGAGCAAGGGCAATGATTTGGACAGGGCTATTTATGAGGCAGTTGTGGTGCGAGACAGTTTGCGTTTGTGGCTGCAGCCGCGCCTCAAAGCTCCAGCAGAGAAGGGAAGGCGTCCTTCCCCGTATGGTGCTGAAACTACAAGTGCTGGCAAGGGTCGTGGCCAAGGCAAGGGCAAGGGTAAAGACAAAGGGGTGAAGCGTGCCAAGGGTCTTTGTTGGAGCTTCCAAGAAGGCAAATGCACTATGCGCGACGAATGCAAGTTTAAGCATCACTGTGATCATTGCGGCTCTGCTGAACATGGGCGGCATGCGTGCGCGAAGCTTTTGCAACTGGCGAAAGAGGATTAGGGGCGTTGCCTCGCTCCCATCATGGAGCAATGCGGGAGCGAGGTAGCAGCAGACCCTGCAGGCTGCCCCTCGCTGCCAGCTGGTAGCGCTCCACCCTGGCAGCCTGCGGCTTTCCATCAAGATGCGGGCCAGGCTGACGTGGCGGGGGTGGCTCCGCAGCCTGAGAGTGGTTCTCCTGCAGATTATCACCGCATCTTTCTGAAAGACGGGGGTGGTCTGTCGAGCACTCTGGATTGGCAAGTGCCTCCGCCTGGAGCTTTGCGGGACCCATTGTCTGCGGTGCGCAAAGCAATTTGGTCTTCCATGCCGAAAGATGCTTGCTGCCGGGCGGCCGCGCTGTGTGGCAAGACCTTGGAGCATCCGTTCTTCACTGACTCAGAGGTGCATTTGATGCAAGTGGCCGTTTGTTCAGCCTTGGGTATCGATTCGGCTTGGGCATTGGAGTCCTTTGAACTCACTCCGTACAAGTTCAATCTGCTGGAAAGTTTGGCTCTGCGTATGGATGATCCAGATGTTGCTCTGTGCAAAGTGCTTCGGCGCGGGGCGCCTACGGGAGTACGGGAGCCAATCCCTGCATCTGGTGTTTGGCCACCTTGTTCTGGCAAATGGGGTGACGAGGTGGCTGAGGCTTGCGATTTGTTCTGGTGCACCTCCAATCACATTTCTGCAGAACAGGAGCCGGCTAAAGTTCGCGCTTTAGTCCAGAAAGAAGTGGACCTGGGTTATTTGGTACACATTGCAGGGGGGATGTCGGCAGTACAACAGCGATTCCCGGATGGTTCCTTGGCAATTGGCAAGCTGGGGCTCGTGACGTGCGCTGGAAAAGAAGACCGGCTCATTGGCGACTCCCGCGCCAGTGGGGCGAGCCCGGCGGCCAGTTTCCTTGAGCGGGCGGAGGTGCCTTCGCTTTTCTTGTTCACTGCTGCGCTGAACAGGTTCGCCGCTTGGCGAGGTGTGGCGGTGGACCCCAAAGAGTGGGTGTTGTTCAGCGTGGACATCAAGGGGGCTCACAAATCTATTCGTACGGCTGCTGAAGATGTGGGCTTTTCGGTATTCTCACTTGAAGGAGAATTCTACGCATACGTGGTCAACCACTTCGGGGCCGCGTGGTCGGCGTATTGGTGGTCAAGGCTTTCTGCTTTGCTGTTACGAACCATACACTTCCTGGTGCGCCACCGCCACCTGGGGGCGGTTTATGTGGATGATTTTCTATTCCTCCTGCCGCGGGGGGCGTTCGCGATGCTGGTGGTGCTGGTGCTGGCTATTTTGCAAATCTTGGCTGTGCCATTGTCCTGGCGTAAACTGGCATTGGGCTCCGAGTTGACCTATTTGGGGTGGCAGTTGTCCTTGCATTCTGGTTTCTGGGCGTCCTTGCCGGAAAGCAAGCAAGCGAAGGTGCTTAGGGAGCTGGCTTGGTGGAGGTTGCATCCGCGACGGGTGCCTCGGAAGAAGCTCTCTCAGCTCTTGGGGTTTCTGCTTTGGGCGACTCAAGTGCGGCTCGCATTGCGAGCTTTCCTTGCGCCTCTCTTTATCAAGCTGAACAAGCCAGGGTCACGCTTGCAGTGTCTGAGTTTGGGGCAATTAGAAGAGCTGGCCATGATCCTGGGGGACGGGCTGGTAGTCCAGTCTGCTGCTGCAAGAAGCGATATTCAAAAGGGGTGGCGTTTGCGCGCTGTGGGTGGCAAGACAGTTGATTGTGTCATCAATGCGCGTCGTCTGCTGCAACAGCCCCGAACGATCACGGGCAAGATTTGGGTCCGGTTTTCGGCATGGACTCCCTGTGTGGATCTGGATCCGGTTTCGTTGTCCTCGTTGCACACTTTACAGCGGGTGTTTTGCACCAACAGTTTCTCTTGGGCCGGTGAGAGGGTGGCTGAGGACGCTGCGGCGGATGCCTGGGCCGGGTCTGCTCTCTCAGGCATAGGAGGTTGGTTTCGTGCCTTGGAGTCAAACAAACTGTTTTGGTTCCACCTGGAAATTGAGCAGGGCCAATTACCCGATCTTTGGCAGTGGCCGGAAAAGATGCAAGCAGCTATATGTGCTCTGGAGCTTTTAGCGCAGCTGGCTCTGGTTCTGGCTCGCGCAAAGGTTGATGGGAACGCACAGTTGCATTGTGTGCGCTTGCGGCAATATGGCGACAACATGCCAGTGGTCGCGGCTTGCAGTAAGGGCTTGTCCACTGCGCCGCCGCTGTGCCTTGCGCTGATGGCCTTGGCTTTTGCGGCTTTGGAGCTACAAGTGGCCTTGGAGCTGTCCCATGTGGCAGGCGAGCGGAATGAAGAGGCTGACTTGCTAAGTCGTTTGAACCACCCAGAAGCGAAGCCATGGCCCTTGGTCATGAGGGCCAAGTTCCCTGAAGCAAATCGGGTGCGTATCACCTTGGCGGACGTGCTGGCCCCGTGGTACAAGTTCATGCAGCGACCAAGTTCGCTAATTGAATTCGACCGTCCTTAGTTGTCAGTTCCCGTAGTTGCGGTTGCGTAGGCTGCACAGTCACTCAAATTTTTGGGGGTTTAGTAGGCGCGCCTGTGCAGAAGGGTACCAACAGGCAAGTTTGGGGAGAAGGGAAGCCTGTTGGCAGAGTCCTGCATGGATGGCTTGTCCCTTCATCTTGCAAAAGGTCGGCGCGCCTGCTTTAGGTCTTGTAGTTCCTTGAATGATAGGATGGGTGAGAGGTTCACAGTCTTTCTCACAGGTTTGGATATCGGCGGCTTGCTCTATAATAGTCAGCACTTTTCTTCAGGCTCTTGATGTTTCCACTACGCCACTCTTAAATGTTGGCCTCGCAAGGTGCTAGATTGTGCCCGCCTCTTTGCCAATCTGATGTACATGGTACATTGTACTGGTAGAGAAAGGTAGAGAAGATGCTTGTGGCTGTCCCAGCCTTCGCATGCAGGAGGAATATATGCATTGCCCATATATGCATGAATTAGATGTTTGTAATCACACTTCCTCCACATCTTTTCTTGTTGGGCGTCATGGGGCGTCTAGCGGCGTCGGAGTCTACGCCCTTTGTGCCTCCCCCTTTAGGACGAGAACTTCACCACGAAGATCGCCTCCTACGTGACCAAGGCGTGGAGAGAAGAGCAGCGGAGGTGCCAATGAGTGAGATGACCCTGCTCTTTGAATGAGCAGCATATATATATATATATTTAGGGGATCCCAATATAATGGTCCTAGTATGTCCTATAGTCTGATATTAATCCCTATATATATGCTTTACCTTATTCATAATCTGATTGACTGCTTAATCTTACAGCTCTTTTATGCAGATTCTTCGTCTGGGTTATTCTTTAATCTGATTGAAGAACTGCGGCAAAAGATTCTGTGAAAATGCACTGGACGCCCACGCTCGACTCAAGGCAAGCACTTAGGAGCCAGAGACTCGATGGGGGCTTTGTGTCCACCGGAAAAAGAGTCTTGTTCTTGCTTGTTGGGTCTGTTGCGGTTCCCCCAATTTCAAAGTGGTAGCGGAGCCCGGTTCCGACCGGGCTGGTTTGGGTTCGACTCTTTTTCTTGGTGGTCACCAGCCCCCATCCCGTCTAGGTTTTTGAATGGCCGATAGACAGGCCATTCCACCTTCGGATGGCGACTTGGATGAACCGCCAGGCGGCGGCTCGCCAGCTGCTGGCTCCACGGGGGCTCAGGGCGCGCAGGACGTTTTAGGGAGTGACCGGGAAGCCTTCGCTCGGTTCCAACGCTTTCTCCAGATGGAGAGAGAGGAAGGCCGCGGTCCGACACGTCATAGGCGCCGTCGTGAGCGAGAAGAAGAAGAAGGTGATGATAGTGGAGAAGGAAGAGGGGCTTCCGGACCTCCACCATCATGGGATGGACAGACCCCATTCGAGGACTATCACATCAAGGCCCAACTATGGATCGCGACGACCAAGGACAAGGCCAAGTCGCGAGGGCCTCTCTTGTTGAAGATGTTGACAGGAGCACCCTTCGAGCTTTACAAGCACTGGGCAAAAGATCCTGTTTGGCTCGGAGATCCACGAGGTGCTGAACGTCTTCTTGAAGACATGGATAAGCCTGAACGCTTCGGAGATGACCAGCAGGAGCACATGCTGACGGCCATGTCCCGCATCACCTACCACCTCCGGAGGCAGAAGACAGAGTCCTGGAGGGAGTACTTCGCCAAGTGGGACAACGCCATTCGGAAAGTTCAACAACACAAGATCGTGCTTCCACCCGAGTATGAAGGCTTCTTGATGATCAACGGGCTGCAGCTGACCGAGAGCGATACCAAGGCCTTGTTGAATTACACCCACGGCTGCATCAAGCCCAGTTCCATCAAGAGCTGGTTGAGAAAGAATGAAACAAAGTTGTCTGCCTCAGAGCTTGTGGCCGACTGGAAGAAGGCAGCCGGCGCCTTCCATACTGAGTATGACGGAGTCTATGCCACCGAGGAGGTCATTGAAGGTAATGGCACCGACCAGGAGGAGATCGACAACATCGAGCACTACATCATGGAGCTCCAGGACGAAGGACCTTCCGAGGACACCGCCCTGAGCGAATCCGAGGCGGCAGAGATCCTCTCCACCTATCTTCAGCAGAAGAAGACCTATACACAGTCGATCAAGGACAAGAAAACCAAGGAACTCGCCCGAGGCTATGGAGCTGGTCGACGACCAAACTTCAGCTTGAATCGGGGAGATCGAGATCGACCTCTACGACCTGGATCCTACTCCGTAACGATTGCCGAGCTGCAGAAGAGGACCCGCTGCCGACAATGTGGTCAGATCGGCCACTGGAAACGGGATTGCAAGAACCCTCCCATGAAACCAGGCAGTTCCTCATCGATGAGCGCGTCTCGAACAAACGAGACACACCTTTTGGAAAGCACACCCGAGGTGCATTTTGTGGGCAGTCTGCAGAAGGAAGAGTTCATCGACAAAAATCTCTCCAGCCATGGACCAACCAGCTCCTCGCCTTTTGAGATGACAGGGACAAGAACACCTGAGCCGCTCATCCTGAGGACTTCAATCGAAGGCCAGCCGGACTGTACAGATGTAGTCCCCGCCTCGAATCACGGCCTGACCGCTCGGTCATATACGGAGAGTGACACGGTTTTGGGTTTGGGAATGGGTGAGATTGGTCATGTTGGTGTGGATAGCTTGTTTTTCTATGAAAACATGTTTTGCGATCTGGTATCCCAGTACTCCCAGTCAACCCCAGATGACGCTACCTGCGCCACAGTCGACACTGGATGCCAGAGACTGGCAATTGGAGCCACGACCCTGAGGAAGTTCAGTGACCATCTACCACAGGGCCTGAAGATCACCATTCACCCCGAGACCAACAAGTTCAGGAGCGTTCACAAAACATCGATTACCACCCGGGTAGCCAATGTACCCAGCTCACTGGGAGCGAAAGGCAGTCTCCTGAAACCAGCGGTCTTCGACAGCGACGAGAGCACCCACGCACCGTTCCTCTTGTCCCTCAGCTTCCTCCTCCATTGTCATGGTGACATAGGGTTGTGTCTTGAGAGAGGCCTCCAACTTCGACTTCGTGGAAACCACGAACCAGTCCCCTTACATCTTGGACCAACCGGAGCACTTCGAATTCCACTTCAACAGTTTACGGAACTCCAACTGACCGCACTCCAAAGAGCCCAGTCAGAAGATTTAGGAACTTCGCTTCCGGAATTCGAGGTCCTGAAATTGAACGAACAGTGCATGAAACCGCCGGAGCCTGACAGAACTCAAGACGTTTCAGCATCGACCTCACCGGTTTCCTCCGCCTGCCATGCAGAACACTGGCCAGAAGCGCAGCCGACATGCTCCACCGGAGACTTCGAACCCGGAGGACAAGGCCGTGAAAGCCTGGACTCAATTGACCCGTCGGCTACTGGTCGTGCTTATGCCCCTTCAGTACCTGTTCGAACACCTCTTGGAGACCATCATGGGAGCACAATCCCAACGCCGGGTTCTGGCGCGTCTGATCGAGAACATGTCCGACGAGGAGCTCCACCACGTGACCAAGATGGCCAAGGACGAGATGAATCGTCGCGGCGAACTATCGGACACCTTCATCGTGATCAGCGACCCGGAACAACGCTCGGACGGATCCCAGAGGAAGGTTCAGAAGGAGACTTTGGTGAGAACTCAGCGCTGCGACCAGATCGACAGCCTGCCGGGGATCGAGATGCTGACTGGACCCCGACCTCGTTGCCGATGCGGTCTACAGGTGAAGATTCATCTGAGCACCGAGGTCAACCACGAGGAGGAGATCTACTTCCGATGCCCGAAGTACCCAGGACAACAGTGCGAATTCAAACAATGGACCCCTTGCCAGCCATTGAAAGATGTGACCAGCTGGAAGTACCGCCAGCAGCCAGGCGAAAAGCCCAAGTCCTATGCCGAGGTGCTGGAGGGGATGGTTCAGGAAATTTGCCCGCACTCAGCCACGCATCGAAAGGGATCCAATGCCTTCCTGACCAAGGTGACCTGCCGCTACTGCAACAAGGTGATCAGACAGGAAAAGAAAGCGGTTGTCACGGAGACGATGTCTCCCAGCAGCCCATCAGAGACACTTCCTCGTCCTTCAACTCCGACGCCAACATCACCTCAGGAAGGGATGACCGAACCAGAGGACTACCAGGACTTCATGGACTTCCTGCGCTGGCGCCGAATGAAGGGCCCTTCAAGCCAGTGACCCCAAAGCTTGAAAGAAAGCTCAGGGCAGCCTTGAAGAAGGCTGTGGCTTTTTGGAAACAGATCCAGTACATTCTCGCAGAAACGCATGATGGAGATGCGACACTGCGAGACTGGATTCGGAGCTTTAATCATGACCTTTGCAAGGAGTTCACCCTGCACCCTAATGGATCGAAAAGAACACATCAGATTGCTGAAATCATGGGACTCTCTCATAAACAACTCAGAACGGTTGCTGAAATCTATAATCCTGGTTGTTTTGGTGAAATTGCCCATCGCTTCAATCTCAATCCTGGCCGTGCTTTTGATTTGAAGTTGGATTGTGATTTGTTGAAGTCAAACAAACGAAACGAAGTCTTGCAGTATGTGAAAGATGTTAGGCCTGGACTCGTTTGCATCGCACCACCATGTGAAATGTACTCACAGTTGCAAAACCTCTCCAAAAACAAACGAGAACGCGTTCCTGCTCTTCTTCAAAAGTATCTAAAGAAAAAGTCGGAAGGGGAGCAACTTTTGCTGTTTGCGCTGCAGTTGTGCGAATTATGCGATAATTTGGGCATCAAGTTCCTCTTGGAACATCCCCACGCTGCATCCTCTTGGAAACACCGTGCCATGGAGCAGCTTCTTTCCAAACCGAACGTAGTGTACACGAAGGCAGACCAATGCCAATATGGACTCCGTGGAGAATCTGGCCAACCCCAAAGAAAACGGACTGGCTTTGCCACCAACAGCCCGGAGATCGCCAAGGCTCTAGACGCCCTATGTCCTGGCGACCATCAACACGAAGTCATCATTGGTGGCACCAAGTCCAAGAAAGCACAAATCTATCCGGAAGGTCTTCGGGAAGCCATTTTGGCTGCCTACGCAAGATCTATTGGAGCTGAGGTTTATACCATCACCTCCGAACAGATGTTCCTGGAGAATGATCGCCTGAACTCATTGTTGGCAGTAGAACTGATGGTCGATTCTGAACTCCATCCAGGACATTCACCGGATAAAGACCAGGAAACTACGCTACAGGCTGAACAAGTCTCGGGACATGAACTTCATCTAAGCGAAGTCGATCCGGAACGACCCGACCAAGTCGAAAGTGTTCTACCTGGCCCAACCTGGGAACTACATGCTGAAGAACTTCAAGGTGACGGTGACCAAGGAGAACTTGAACCGGAAAGCGATGAACGAACAAATGCTCCACTCCCTCTCGAACGTCGCTTCACCATGGACCGACTTCTACATCGAGCACATGTTGGAATGGGACATCCAAGTCCAGATCGGTTTGTACGCATACTTAGATATGCCAAGGCAAAACCGGAAGTCATTGAAGCAGCAAAACGGCTGAAATGCAGTGTCTGTCAACGACATGCCCAAGTTCGACCCGCACGACGAAGTGCTCCACCCAAGGAGCTCAGCTTCAACGAATGTGTCGGAGTGGATGTGGTCTTCTTGCCAACCTTGGGCAATCGCTCCAGACCAGCACTTAATGTGATAGACTGGTCAAGCAAATTCCAACTCATGATCCCCTTGCCTAACAAGAAACCAGGACAAGTTCGAGAAGCCTATAGGCACTGGTTGAGACTATTTGGGCCTCCAAAAAGAATGGCATTAGACTTGGGACGTGAGTTTCGTGGTACCTTTGCCGAACAGGTTGAGCAGGATGGGACCTACATCGACCCAGCTGCTGTGGAAGCACCTCATCAGAGAGGCATCACCGAAAGGCATGGAAAGACTTTCAAATATATCCTCCAGAAGACCATGGACACCTACAGCTGCAGCAACATGCAGGAATGGGAAGAAATGGTAGATCTCACAACCATGACCAAAAACCGAATGATGAACGTGGGAGGATACAGCCCATGTCAACGTGTCTTGGGATTCAACCCCTTCCTACCAGGAGGACTCTTAAATGGAGATGACGGGCATCGACATCGAGAAGACGCTCCAGTGCCGAAGATCGGCGACCTCAGCATTGAAAGATCCATGAAGCTTCGGAAGGCTGCAGCTCAAGCTTTCATCGAAGCCGATGCAGACAACGCCTTGCGGAGAGCTATCTCATCAGGACCAAGACCGATCCTGGACTACGACATCGGTGAGATTGTCTACTTCTATCGAATGGGAGCGGATAAAAAGCTCAAGTTCAAACCAGGCTACTGGCAGGGACCAGCTCGCATCATCATGATCGACCAGCCCAGCACTATTTGGCTAGCGTACCAGTCAAACCTGGTCAAGGCGAGTCCGGAGCGCCTTCGGAGAGCATCATCTGAAGAGAACATGGCTCTTTCGGGATGGCTTGACGACATTGTCAATGTCAAAAAGGATCTCAACACTGAACCGGTTAGAGGCTTCCTAGATCTATCCGATCAGCCTCTACCTCCTGACCCAGCAGATGGGGATCTAGATGACATGGACTATGAGCCATCCGAACCTCCTGAAGATGAACCGAGTGCACCTCCGATAGCTCCAATCTTAGACGGGCTTCAAGAACCTCTGGGATACCCACCGCCAGCAAAAAGATACCGAACAAAGGCACCACAAGAGAACCTTCATCAACCACCAGAAGCAGAAGATCTACAAGAACCAGATCATGACGAACGACCCGCTGAAGAGGTACCAGAAGAACGACCAGAAGAACACCCCGACGTGGACGAGAACAACAAAAGAGAATATGATGAAGGAGAAGCCCAAGAACAACCGCCATTAAAAAGATTGAGACATGAATACCTGGAGATCTACCTGAACAAGGTTGACAACCTGATGAAAACAAGACAGAGAAAGGAAGTTCGCTTTCAGGAACTGAGCTTCAAGAACCAAAAATGTTTCAAGGCGGCAATCGGCAAAGAATTCAACAACAACATCAACATTGGAGCCTACTCCATTGTCTCCCCAGAAGAGTCAGCAAAGGTTCGACAAACCATGCCACACCGAATCATGGAAAGTCGATTGGTACTGACTCCAAAACCATTGGAACCTCACGAAGTAGAACCAGCCAAACAGGAAGGAGTCCTCCTCGACTGGGATTCCGAAGAACCTTGCAAGGCCAAAGCCCGACATGTGATGAAAGGGTTTAGCGAAGAAGGCTCCGAGGACATCGAGGCAACGACACCGCAGGTTACCAGAGAAGGAACTCTCATGGTCGCCCAACTGGTGGCCAGTCATCGCTGGAAACTCGGCTTCTTGGACTTCACCCAAGCTTTCCATAGTGGAGATGCGATTGAACGACTACTTTATGCAACTCCACCTCGCGAAGGCATCCCTGGAGTTGCACCGTGCCAACTCCTGAAACTTGAAAAGGTTTGCTACGGCCTCACTGATGGCCCATTGGCATGGTACAATCACCTCAAGAAGTTCCTGACCAGCCAACTACAATACCAGCAGTCACTGGCAGACCCGTGCATCTACTACAAACATCGGGCCAGTCCCCTTACTGGTAAGCCGGTCCTCAGCGGCATCATTGCGGTCGCTACAGATGACCTTCTACATGGAGGCGACGAAGAACACCAAAAGGCTATGGACCAGATCAAGGCAAAGTACAAGCTTGGAAAATTCCAATATGGATCTGGAAAATTTACTGGAAAAATGTTCGTCCAACAAGAGGACTCGAGCATCACCGTGAACCAGGAGAACTACATCCAGGAGAAGCTCTTCGAGATCAACCTGGAAAAACAACGAAAGAAAAAGAGATACACCTTCTGTGACGACAAGGAAATCACGCAGCTCCGCGCCAGTGTTGGAGCCCTAGCCTGGCTCGCCAAAGAAAGCAGGCCAGACCTGGCCGGAAGAGTGGCTCTGCTCCAACAGGTCTTTCCAAAGCCTCGTATCAAAGACATCATCGAGGCCAACTCCATCACTCAGGAGGCTAGAAAACATCCCTCGAGCGGCATCAAGATTATGCCGATTCAGCCAGAGAACCTGCGAATAGGAGTTGCTACCGACGCTTCATGGTCCAACGCTAGAAGCCAAGACCAACTGGAAGCTAGTTCACAAGACTACTGGGAAGAGAAACCATCACACTGGATTCGACATCATGTCACTCCCAGGAGGGTCCTATTCCACCCCGGAGCCGATCCAGGACCAGATCTTCATGACCTACAACCAGGTCGCAGAACGATGACAGCGAATGAAGAAGTTCTAGAAGATGAATGGACAAAAGGAAATAGTGTCCGAACTTGGTCGGACTCCCCTTGGACTGGAAAAACCATCTTCACCAAACAGCTTCCAGGACATGAGTTGGAACATGGAAAGATCAACGACACCTTCCTCAAGCTCCTCAACTGTAGCAGCCAAGGAGGCTATGTGATGATCTTTTATGACAAGAGAATGGAAACCGAAGATCGACCTCACATGGTTTCCGTGACTTCATGGAAGTCAACAAAACTCAAACGAAAGACAGTCAACACCCTGAGCGCCGAATGCCAATCGTTAGTCCATGGCATTGGCCATATCCACTGGCACCGCTACCTCCTGCTCGAACTGATGGGCACGACCATGGAATCCAAGGATTGGGAGCGGCATCTGGCAGCCATCCCCTATGTCTCAGTAGTTGACTCTCGGTCGCTATACGACTGCATCAACAAGCTGGTGTGCACCTACTCTCAAGTAGAGGACAAGAGAACGGCTATAGACATAGCCATACTAAAGGACGATCTTTATAGATCAGGGGGTTCTTTACGCTGGGTTGCTGGTGATAACATGATCGCGGACCCCCTTACGAAAAAGATGAACTCAGATTTCCTTAGATGTGTTTGCAATACCGGTTACTGGTCACTCTCCGAGACAGGCCATAGAACCCAGTGCACCACGCATGACGTTCTCTTGGTCTCGCTTGGCCGTTAGAGTAGGGCCGGTGTGAAAATGCACTGGACGCCCACGCTCGACTCAAGGCAAGCACTTAGGAGCCAGAGACTCGATGGGGGCTTTGTGTCCACCGGAAAAAGAGTCTTGTTCTTGCTTGTTGGGTCTGTTGCGGTTCCCCCAATTTCAAAGATTCACCCAGACGTGACCATGGACCCTCATATGGAGGCTTGGACCCGAATCCTCTGGAGAGGTCTGGGATCTCACATGCCGGTTTTTGAGGGACCAAGGGCTGTGAACAGAGCGCCTGGGAAGTATATTTAGTTCGAGAAACTTGGGCCTAGCAGTCTGCCAGGGCGGAAGCGGGCGGTGCGTCGGGGGTTTCCGGCGAGGCGAACGCCACGATTTAGACCTGTGAAAGCCATAACAGGACGCAGACAGGGACCGCAGGGAAAGCATGGCAGCATGGCCTTTTAGTTCATGGGCTTTGAGCTTTGCGATCAAATCGAAGAACAACATGGAACAACCATGAACAACCTTAAGTTGAGTCTCTGTTTGGATGGCAAAAAGCAATCCTCCTTTGCTTTTTGGCACATTTGGGCATCAAACCTTGCCCCGAAGCTGGGACACCGCTCGCGAGCGGCGATCCTCCAGTGGAAACCGGGCTGGATCGGTTTCGATGGGACTCGTGGTTCGGGGTCAAAGTGGATCAACGATCTATTTCAGCGGTACATTGTGGGTTTGACCTATTAACACTATTTTTGAACAAGGCCTGCAACTGAACCATCATCGTGTCAACTGTTACACATATTAAGATAGATCTATAATCAGTATACAGTATATACACACAACAATTGCAAATTCATATTGAACCATCTCATGTACCGTGTTGTGAGTGTTGTCCAGGCTCTTTAGGTGATCAACCTTCAGATTGATTCAACCAGAAGTGAATTTGTGTTTAAACATGGTATCTGTGTACTTCTGCCATAGATTCACGTGGATTCTTCAAGATTCTTCCATTTCTCAGATGGAATGGCGAAGCACACGATCTGCCTCTGCTTTGGGGGGAATTCAAGGTCACCCAGTTTGTTGTCCATGTGTGGTTCAACCATCAATGTCTCTGAGCTCATGAGTAGCGCTAAATATTAGTTGCATGAGCAATCTGGTTACAGGTCTCCTGGGCAAAGGAAACCCACGATCTGCTTCAGGTTTACACTTCGCCCTTCGTGGTGGAGCAGTACTTGGAGTCCCTCCCTTGGCGAATCAAACAATAACTCGGCTGAAGTCGAAATGGACGCGAGACAGAGAGGTGAGTGTTGACTGATATCTGATGAATAAGAACGTGTGTGTGTGTGTGTGTGGAGCTGTGAACAGGTTTCAGTGTTTTATGATGTTTTGTGTTATGAAGGATTGCATCCAAGATGTTGCATTTTCTTCGGCCCAATGAGGACCGAGACGTGATCTGGGAACCCTTGGCCGTTGAATGCAGCTGTTGGGGTCGACTGTCCTTCTTTTCGGTCCTCGTCCTGGAATCAACCATTTGAGGCTGTGTCGAATCCAAACACATTTTCATAAGACGTGTCTACTCAGTCTGGCCTAAGAAATCATGGCCATTTGGAGACCCACACCAGGTATCCGCCAGTTGGGTTTGGGTCATCAGCATATCCCATTTTGGGACGTTTTGTTCTACCGACCCTGGCTGGACCAGATCCTTGGCCGTGAGGTCTTACCCCGTGCGCCATGCTGGAGCAGATGTGGTCAAGGCGGTAGGGCCTCAGGCGCAGAAGCTGCGCTGCGGAAAGTGTGCACGCGGCTGAACGCGGTGGAAGAAAGGCATGAAGGAGAGATGTGTTACTGCAATATAAGCTGCATATCATTTGTTCTTCCGAAGTGTATGATGTTGGAACTCGGGAAGGGAAAGGGTGCACAGTTGATGGTACTTTGGCCTATTTCAAGCGAGAATTAGAGGAGCAAAGAGTGTTGAAGGTGTTGAAGGTTGTTGCTGGTGGCAGTGTTCAAGTCACACACAGCTCTGGATGAGGTAAACACAGTGCATGGATACACTGGTTTGGTTGGCTTTGCCAAGAAGGATGACTTTGTAAATAACGACTCCGAGTCTGACGAGCGAATCGAGAGAGCACCTTTCCCCGCCTGAAACTCTGGGGTTCGTTCGCAGGGAATTTTACGCCTGGCGCATAGGTACCAAGCATCTGCCGCCTGCCAACCCTTTGGCTGATATGCCAAGCATAGTGCCCTAAACCCGCCTAGAGGCCTAGACCCTTCGAAGCTCTACAGGGTGCTCCTACAGCTGCCTTTGCCTTCGATCTTCGCTGTCCCTTTTTCTGCATCGCCGCCAACATGTCAAGCATCTCCACCAGGACGCTCGACACAAATTATCCACCCATCTGGAAAAGACTGCCTTACTAGCCCGAGGAAGTCTCACTATTCCTTACTCCGATTGGTCTCACTTGTCTCCCCACTTACTGTGCCTACTGTGCGGCCTGCGTGATCGGCCTCGAGCAGAAGGAGCAGAAGGAGCTTCCTTTCGCCCCCGGACCCTTTCGCCAACGAGTGGACACGTCCCATCTGCTTGCTTCCCCATTCGAAGGGTGACTCCGACGGCCCGGAGCTCGGCACAGAACGGTGACGCCTTTTCCGCGGCGAAGCTCCGCCGGTGAGCGGGAACAGGTGGAGGCGGTCTTGACCAAAGCAGTGGAAGAGGAGTCTGGCTGAGTGAAGGCGGCAGTTGGCCGCTGTTGGCGATGTTTGTTCATTGGCCGATGGTCGCACTGCCAGTGGACTCGTAGTCTTAGAATCTCCTAGACTGTAGGGCCAAGGTGGTCCAGCATGACGGCCAGGTGCTTTTGGATGGTGGTTGAATTTGTGACAGATTGATGTTGCTTTGCTTAGGGTGAATACGGCCAGGCATGAGTGCTCTCGTATCTGTTTGTACCTACATCATATTTCCTCAGCAAAAGCGGAGCAGTCACAGGAGGAACTCGAGAAACCTCGAGAAACATCGACATGGATCAAGTAAAACACGTGTGTGTTTCTCAACATCGACTGAATCATCATGTGTTGTTATAGTTATTAGAATAATTAGTCGGTCTTTTCTTCACTTCTGCATCTCGTAGCACAAATCGTCCCACATCCGTGTCACACCAGGATGGCGATTCATTCTTCAAACGACTGTGCATCCAGCGATGGATGTCAAAGCATGGACATAGCATGGACCTCTTCAAACATGGACCAGCAATGTCAAGAGAGGAGTGCTATTTGAAGCACCTAGGCCCCTGGTCCCTAGGCCCCTGGTCCCTAGGTCTTGGAAGAGAAAGCATACTTGGGTAATTACAGGATAGGTTTGGTTGTGGAGCTCAGGGGCACCGGTCTCAATGGGCTGGGTTTGGTTCATGGCACTGAACATCCCCAGTTAAAGACAGTGACATTCAGCAACGAGCTCTCTTGGTAGTGGGAAAAGAATACACCATAATACACCTCTTGGGTTTAGACAAGAGATGATCCTGTCTCCAGACACCCGTGCCTTGTGCTGCACAGCATCGCCCGACTCCAATGGTGAAAAACCATCCCTGGACCGCTCCGCAGCACTCCGCAGCACGCTCCGCAGCACGAAGCTGCCCGCTGAGCGAACAAAAAGATCCCTCATGCGGCGGCCAGCTCAATCGAGCAGGGCCTGGCCAACTTTTGCTTCCCCAGAGGACCCATGGATGGAACGATGTACTCGTATGCCAGTCTCCCCCAGGTTCCCTGCATGCCAGTCTCTCTCCGTTTTCGTTAGTTCCAAGCTGCTAGACGACTTTCAGAACAGAAGACTGCTCACCAAGGGGTCACCTGCTTTCGACCACCGCTACCGAGCCGCTACCCCCGCGCAAGCTCGTGCGGGGCGTACGTTTGGTCCAAGACTTAATTGGTTTAAGGTAGAACCTACAGGAAACTATGGTTTTCACTCCCAAACCAATGGGTTTTCCTGATTAGTTTTCCCCTAAACCAAAACCAAGGGGTGAAAAGGGGCAAATGACTCTGAAGCTGATGGGTCAATCGTCCAATCTCATGGACCCCGCTGGGTCGTACTCGTCCTCGACGATGTCGTCCACAGCTCTGCGCAGAGATACATCTCTCGCCGGAAGACAGCTGCTGCTGTGCGAAAAGCAGCGCGCGATCCGTGGAAGGCCACAGTAGGTCATCACTGTTGAGACCTTCATAGTACGTACAGTACATTAGATTGCGTCACAATAGGTCAAGTATATCAAAGTGGATGTGGCGGTCAAGAAACTCAATTTGGCATAGATAGATGACAGAGACCTTCGTTGCTGGTAGAGGGGCATCTCAGTGGGCATCTCAGAACATCCTTTGACAGTTTACAGTTTCCATGTTTACTGGAACAGATGAGTGATTTCCTCAATTCAACGGGGTTTGCATGACATTATGATTTTTGCACGTAGATCCACAGTCGTAATGCCGCACCAGCTGCACTACAGGAATGTGATCACCGGGTGACAACGGAGTAGCCTCCGTTTTCATGTTCACACCGCTATAGGGGCAACTGGTGTGCCACCCTGAGCTCTAAACAGACATCCCTGCCTCAGAAGTCGCAACCAGTGAGAGTTTTGGCTCCAAATGATTTGACCGGTATGCAAGTGAGACGTGTTCTTGCTACTGACGGAAGGACAGAATGCGAGACGACAGTATTCGGTGTGAAATCCACAGATGGCACAAGTGGAACAAGCTTTGTCATAAAGTTGTCATCGTTTGTCATATGTTGTCATCGCACAATGGCTGGCAAGCCTGGCGTGAACCTAGGCAGGGAGGGGGGCTGCGTGGGGCTGCTGTGATGCTGTTGCTCGCGCTGGGTGGTCAGAAAGTCAAAGCAACCAGCAAGCAAAGCAATCAACCAGCACCACCCAGGTGGGGTTATTTAGATTTGATGCTTTGCTATGCTTCGCTCAGATTGTCACTTCAGAACCACTTTTGGTCCCTGTTGGTGGGTGTGCAACCTGGTCAAACCCCAAACAACGAATCCGCAACCTGGTCGCCTTTCTTCATAGCAAGTCCCACCACGCCCGCGCCGTTAGCCTTTTGGACGAAGCCTTTAGATCCATCGGCCGATAAGAAAGATCCATCGGGCGATCGCCATGGGAGAGAACGGCATGAAGGCGTTCAAAAACACGTGCGCGCGCGAAAGGATATATGCGAGGGAAACAAACAAAGGCGCGAAAGGTATGCAACAGAAGGTCTGGCGAGTGCATGGTGACGCGGTGCCTCGCGTGAGGCTTACCTCTTCAGATTCTTCAGATTGTTGATACTTGTGGATCGAGATATCTAACAGCAAAAATGGTTTGTTTTGATATGTTGGCGATCTTGAGCACCCGCACGATGAAGAGATTTCTTCAAACTGCATTCGCCGACAGACCCCCACGGCCGCACGGCTTCATCTGATCGCCGTCCATCCGCCGACCGAAAAGAGCGCCCTCCGCTGTCCTCCCGTGGACCGGCGGTGGGTTCAGGAGTCGCCCATCTTGAAGAAGTACGTGGAGAATGGTGATGTGGTGGCCGGGTTTGGCAGATTTCCAGGTGATTTCCGGTGATCTCCGGTGAATTTCTCCGATGTTCCGATTTCTGGTGATTTCTGGTGCATTTGTTTTGCCCTTGTTGTTGGAGTTCAATCTCCGGGTCCTTCTGTTTCAGGTGTCCGACGAGTCGGTCACCGACCGACGATCCCAGGTGGGCATCTGTGTCTCGGGCGGCTTAGACTCCAAGACCGTGGCCTTAAGGCTCCGCTTGGCCGGTGTAAAGGCGAGGGACAGGAGGACAGGACAGGAGGAAAGGATGGTAGGATTGGGTGGTCTTCATGTCCCTTTTTTGTGAAGGGTGGGCATTTGGGGTATGGTTTCAACATGTTGAAGAGCTTGAGATAGATGAAGGGAGGGATGAGTAAGAGTTCGACTTGTCTTTCTTCCAAGGCAGTAGTCTGGTATGTAGGGATGATGTTGGAGTAGTGACTAGTCTTGTGTCACAAGCAGTTCTCTCAAGTGACTCACTTCACGTGGTTTTGTATAAAATGTTTCAGATTTTGATGTTCAAACTCTGGCAGCTCTCAGCTGCTTTTAGCTAAACCACTTGTGGATCCCGCACCATTGTGGGCTTTCTCAGCCTTCTGCATCGTTCTGGGTGTAGGTGAAGTGCTTCACTGCAGACATCGGTCAGCCTGATGAGGAGGACGTGCCCCTTGGACGAGCTTGACGTGCAGCGTTGGGAATTCGAAGCCGGGAAGATGGAGCATGGCTCTCACTTGATAGGCTGTGAGTGGAAAGCTGGATTCTGGATCCCCCCAACTGAAAGTAAGTCATGGTAGATTTGACTATCCCTCGTTGTCCCAATTGGCCAGACATGATAGGGACGGAGCCCCCAAAGGCAGGGGCCATGGCAGCGCCATGGCGGTTCCGCCCATGGACCGGCACTTGGAAAGTGCTGCCATGGCTGCAATGTACTCAGCTTCGTTTGGATTGCACCATGAATGATGCGTCCGTTGGTCTAGCTCAGAGGTGAAATTAGATCCAGACTCTGACTACCTCACAGAGCATCATCCCTTCAGAAGTAGAAGGATGATCCCTCACTTGAGCTCACAAGATGAAGCTCCTCCGTGCAACAAAGTGTTTTGTTCCCGCATTTTAGTTGGATTTTGTGCCAATTATGTGCATGTACTCGTACCATGATGTACCACTGGATTTTCTCTTGGGTTCACAGTCCCAAGCAATTCTGTGTGAATTCTGTTGGGATTGGTGTCATTTGTAGGTGAGGCAAAACTCACAGTACGCACGAACTCGGGCAAAAAACCTTTGGAGCTCGCTCGTTGTTTGGGTCGTGTTCATCGCCGAGCAAAAAAGGAACGACGTGATCAAGAAAATGGCCCCCTGCGGCGTGGAGACCGTCGTCGTGGATCTGAAGAGCCTTGGACGACTTCGGGTTGCTGTGCTATTCATAGAGCTTGGAGGCCAGGGTGCCCAGAAGTCCACATTCACCTCACTGAGATGGGAAAAGGCCACAGCGCCCAGGACAGCGCCCAGGCCACGCACCCAGGCCCTCCATGTGACGAACGTGGTTCTCGTCGTGTTGCTTCGCTCACGGTTTTCAGAGGGTACACGAGGGTACAGGAGGGTACAGTTTTTTCAGAATACAGGAAACCAGGAAACGTTCATCCCGGTGATGTGACCGGAGGGTACAGGAGGGTACATTTTTTTTTCAGAATATGTTGTTTTTCCATGTTGTTCAGAACATGCTTCGATCCTGGTTCATCGAAGTGATTCAGAGATTTTTCGAGTGCTGCTGCTTCGGTCACCCTTTTTGGCCGAGGGTCACCCGGTGACCCCGGGTTGATTGAACAAAAGCAAAGGTGGCACGGTTTTTGTTTTTGTTCCGTTCGCCCTTGGAACAGGTGGTTGGATGATGGATGTGATGTGGTGACTGAACCCAATGTGCCATTTTTCAAAAAGGAAGCCGGTAGAGTGAAACTTGGTTCATTGGACCTTCACGTCCGAAGTGGGTGATTTTCCATTGCCTGACTGATCGGAGTGGTTTGTGACTCTTGAAGATCCTGGAAGCTTCAAGGAACCCACACACAACCAACGAAAAGGTATGGTGTACAAGGACAGAGATGGTGCAGATTGGCTCCTAGAATAGGAGACGAGTAGTGAGCCGAGTACCTGAATGCAGATTCTGTAGCAACATCGAAGCATTCCCTAGCCTACCAGATGTCTCCTTCAGCTACAAGGTCATACGCAGCCCACGGCACCCAAAACTTCGTGGTGTGGTGCCCAGAATTCTGAGCAGTATCCACCCCATATTCCACAATATGACCTGGGCCACCTGGCCCACCAATGTGAAAATAGAAAAAGATCAGAGGAACCATGCCATAAGCCCTCCCATCCGTTCCACCCATGGGTTTCCCACGCTTTTTTTTCCACCGCCTCTCCAGAGCCAACCTCTCCCCTTCCAAGGAAGGAGATCGCCGAGGGCGCCTTCGAGGCGGTGGCTGCGCAGGCGATGTACGACGGCGGCTACTGGCAGTCCACGGGTATTGGCAGATACGTCACCGCCCGGGGCTTGCTCCAGGCACAGCCGCGGCGCGGCAGCGACGGTTGTGAGGGATGGAAACGCGGCGGGGGACGGGTTGCGTGGTAGGTTGAGGGGCATTTTTTCGTTGCACGCGGCACTTGCAACGACGCGAAAGGCGAACAGCCATTTGTTTTTGGGGGGGCGGGTGGGGCGAGGACTGCGATTCGGATCAGTGGGTGAATAGTAATGATGGCCCTAAAAGTGCTTGATGGGGCATTTGGCTGCAGGGGGGCAGGGAGAACTCCATGGCAAAGGAGCAGGTCGAATGACGTTCAGATTTTTTCCTCACTGGAGCGACCTGGAGGTTCGCCGCCCTGCTAGAATCCCATGGCACCACCAATCCCATCATTGCTTCGCCCACCAGTGCGTCACTGGTTCCGTGTGTGGGCTGCAGTCGACTGCAGTCAGTGTGTGTGACTTTACACCCGAGGACCCACATGGAAGCTGCAACAAAACATATGAAGAGTTATGAACCTGTGGAAGACTGTTTTTATTTCCTCTACAATCCAGGCAGTGGTGATTTTCAGTTTTCCATGTTAATCTTCATTAATCTTCTCATATCATAGAAAACATGTGTTAACTGGTTAACATGTCGGTTCCACAGTTCATCGGCTATGTTAATCTTCCATATCATAGACCTGTCCAATCAGAAGACCTGTCCATGTGGAAGCAAGCCCCACGCCACTGTCGTCGATCATGGACACCTTTCGGCTTGGAAGGACTTGCTTGGGGGACTGAAGGTTTTAGGTTTTAGTTCCTGTCTTGTGTCGTCAACGAAGCAAAACCAACAACGTCCACTCTATGTGTTCGATCCATCCATCAACTCATGAAGCAACCATATATGTTATGCAACTATCAACTATAATACCCAGCATTTGACCCTAGAATTTAAGCAACCAAAAGACATCCACTGTTATTAGCCACTTACACCCTGCACCTCCGTGATTTCCTCAGCCTCATTGGCACGCAGCGCCTGAAATGGCCTTATTTGAGGGCTGTACGGTGCGGACTCCTCGTCTCAGCTGGTCCGAACTTGTCAACTAAAAAATGAACTCGCAATGAATCCACACTTGGATGCTCCCAATTCACCCACACGTTTCGGTGGATGTGCTGCTTTGACATGGGCGGGGGGCACGCCACTAGTCTTTAAACATCTTTGAACCATTCCTGTGTCATGCTGGAAACCGACACAGCTGGGCCAAAAGGCCATGAAGAAGGCGGGCTGCACAGTGCTCTCCCACGGTGCCACGGGGCGCGGCAACGACCAGGTGCGGGGGGATCTCATCTCCCGGGACCGGGCACCGGTCGGGGAACGGGGACCAGATGGTTTAAGTATATGTTTAAGTCTAGTTCTTAGGGTCTTAGGGTCTTAGGGTCTGTCTTAAGACCTTAGGTCAAAGATGGGCGAGCTGTCGCTTGTACACTTGAAATTTGGGTCGCTTGTGCACTTGAATTTATGGTCGCTTGTACACTTGACATTTGAGCACTGTCCGAACATGTCGTCACCAAACGCTTTAGGTTGGTCGGTCTTACACTGAGCATACATTGAAAAACCGATGAGGTAAACCCAAGACCGAGGTCTTCGATTGAGCATACATTGAAAACCGATGAGGGAAACCCAAGACCGATGCCTCTGTATCATACATCGGATAAGTACTACTACTACTACTACTACTACCACTACCTTTATATACTACTACTACTACTACCACTACTACTACTACTCCTGCTACTACTACTACTACTACTACTAGTACCACCACCACTACTACTACTACTGCTACTACTACTACTACTACCAATAGTACTGCCACCCCAACCCACTCATTATAGTTTGCGCGCGCAAGTGAGTTTGTATGGCAGAAGTATGCTTTGAAAGGCAATCAAAACGTGAGTGCGTGCGTGTGTGTGTGTGAAGATGTTGACCTTGTCCAACTTGGCAACCTTTTCAGCAGTTCAGAGTCCCTTTGTATGGTTGGCAACTGCAACCCCCCCACCCCACCCCCCACCCCCCACCCCCCACCCCAACCCATTCACTAGTTCATTGTGGAGTAGGCACCACCCGTTGCTAGGAAGCAGGTAAGTGCGCAAGTGACCTAAATTTTTGATGCCAAGTGCGCAAGTGACCCAAAGTGCGCAAGTGACCGAAATTCCCAGTGCGCAAGTGACTGCCCGGCCGTCAAAGATGGTCAAAGGCAGATTTTGGAGGTTCTAAAAAGCCCTTCTTAGGATTTTGGGGGGGTCCACTCAGTTTGGGTCCTGCAATCGGTGCGAGCGCTGCGGTACATAGAACGAGCTCTGGGGGTGGCTGCACGTTTCCAGCCACTGTTGTGTGAACGTCTACAATTACGGGTGTCCCAAATGCATTTTCTGCGGAAGATTGCGGAAGTTAGTCGCACGGTCTTTGAAGAGAAACTCATGAAACTCCAAAAGTGGCATTGTTCTGAAAGCAGAGTCGATTCTCCAGAGACTATGACAAGGCTCGAGCAGTACCCTTGTCATAGGATTCGGGACAGTTCCTTCCCATGTGTCACCCTAATTCACGGATTGCAGTAGATTCAGATTCGATGAGATTCAGATGTTGCGCTGCCCATGCTTGGCATGGCTCTCCGAGGTTCGCTTCGAGCGCTATGTGAACGTTATGGATCCCAGCTTCAAAGTCTATGCACCCTGGCGCGACCCGGTGCTCTTGGAGGAGTTCCCGGGGAGGAGCCAAATGTTGCCTGGACATGGAACGGGCGCGCCATGTGGGGGTTGGGAGATGTTGGAAGGGACATAGGCAGATGGGTTGAGTTGGGTTGGTGGGTGGGTTGGAGACATGCTTGGATGACCATCTCTGACCAAAGAGTCTTTTCTCTGACTGGCATGTGGAGAAAAGATGAGAGTTCGGACAGAGAAGGCCCTGAAAAAGGCCGGAACATGGGGCAGCCAGTGGGGCGGCCCTGAAAGACCCAGCTAGATAAGAGGCCTATCGACCATCAGGCGAATCATCCACTTCCGAAGCTGGTCGAATCGACGCGGCGGCGACTTGAAACACCGAAGCTTTGACAGCGGCTTCGACGGGAAAAAGTCGTTCGACTTCTTGATGAGCGTTCTTTGTCGACTAATGCTTCAGCTTTGATTTAGGAGTTAACAGAGCCAGAGAGCCAGTACATGAGTCATATTACTCCATGGTCTTGTGGGAACGTAGACTAATTATGAGTCTCCGTTCCCACAAGACCATGGAGTGCGCAGTGCGACGACTTGCGGTCACTCACAGGATCTGAGGCCCATCCAATCAATGAACCTAACCACCCCCCCCCAACGAAAACCATCCCAAAACCAACCTGCCCAACTAACCTAACCTCTATTTTCCCAGGCTGAGCTTCTTGCAGAAGCACGGCATTGACCACAAGATCGTGTCACAGGCCTCTAAGCGCTACTCCACTGATGCCAACATTTGTGGACTCTCCAACGAAGCGGAGGTCCGCTCGCCGACCCCGTCCGCCGGGCGAACGAACGGGGGTCGAAGGGTCGAAGGTGCAAAGCCCTCATGGGGACGAAGCAAGAACCGTCACCCAGGCCACATCGAGGGGAAAGACCTATTGTGTCCGAACACATGCAAGGGATACTGTAGCGGGATTTGTGCGTCTTCCACACATGGTCATTGAGAGGAAGTGCCAGCGGAGGCCATCTAGAGTTGACGAAAAGGACCTCTCCATAGCATCTCTTAGCTATAGGGTCAAACACACCCTCGCAGACCTCGCAACTCGGGCTTTGGACCCGAAAGCTCTTCGCAGTTGCGAGGGCGTGAGCGCCCTCGCGGACGTGATAGGGGCACTCGCCAGGACTTGGAGTCGATGCAAACTCCAATCACCATCGTGAATCCGGTAATGGGCGTGTGGCCCAAGGACGCTCCTGACAAGCAGGAGGAGATCACTCTGAAGTCCTTGGGCTGAGCGCTTTCGAATGAAGGGAGAAATCAATATAGATAAGACGTATGTATTTGAACATCGACTTCTCTTAAAAGTCTCTTGGAGAGTCTCCTGGAATTCTCTTGAAGTCTTTGAGTCCTTTAATATAGTCCTTTCGAGTCTTCAACATAGTTGCAAAGAATGTGCTGTTCGAGGCTTTGTTGAAAGGACATCTATACGCAGTTCATGTGGGTGTGAGCCGTGTGAGCCTGGCGTGGAGCTTGAAAGTTCTTCTGTGTGCTAAATGACACCTCTTCTGGGGTGTCTCGCCAGACTTTCCGGTTGTGCTAGTGACTAGTGGTGACTAGTGGTGACTATAGTGCTTAGTTTCACTGTTCATGGATGAAAACACCAAAGCAGTCCTGGATCAGCAAGAAGGTACCGGAAAAATGTCCACCCAGCTTTTATGGGTTGGAACGGGATCATTAAGGACTGGTCCCCTTGTGGATGGACTGGTCCCCTGTGCTACGAGGAACTGGACTTGTAGGGGGTTGTCAGCCTTTGGGAACTTCCTAGGACTTCGAGGGCGTCCCAGAAATCCCTCACTGTCAACTCATAACTCCATCTACACTCCGACGAACGCATCACATGGAAGTGGATGGTACCCCCTCTTTGTGAGGGAAATAAAGCCGTCTTCCTTGTGGTCCCATGCCATCCACTTCGGGACCATGTGTTCGTCAGAGTGTAACTGGTCACTCATGGTGACTCCACCAAGGGTCGACCTCGGTCGGCTATGCCAGGAGCCCGTTGTAGCGTCCTTGCTCCTAGTAGCGATGCCAGGAGCCCCTAGTAGCTTCTTGCTCCTAGTAGTATGGCCAGGAGCCCCTTGTAGCGTCCTTGCTCCTAGTAGCGATGCCAGGAGCTCTTATAGTAGCTTCTTGCTCCTAGTAGTAAGGCCATGAGCCCCTTGTAGCGTCCTTGCTCCTACTAGCGATGCCAGGAGCCCCTATAGTAGCTTCTTAGCTTCTTGCTCCTAGTAGTAAGGCCAGGAGCCCTTAGTAGTGTCCTTGTTTCTAGTAGCGATGCCAGGAGCCCCTATAGTAGCTTCTTGCTCCTAGTA